TCATAGTTTCTGCATTTCCATACCAATTGCTTTCATTTCACGTTCTTTCCACCTCGATCTTCTGCTGCCCGACATTCTATTCCTTACTAGCGTTATATACTACTTATGAAGATGTAAGCAATGCACACTCCATGGGAAAGCTTAACAAATAAGCTTAATAGTTAACTAACTAACATGTTAACTCAAGTTTCCTTCAACTAATAAATTTACATTTTCATTTTAACAGTTTTACAGTAATATATGTCATTTAATGTTGTATCTACATAATATGGATAATCCTATGAGTTTATGAGTAAAGTCAGTTAGTGAATCAGTCAGTCAGTCAACAACATAAACCTTCGTACGTACGTAAAGTAGCTATTTTAAATAAAACTGACGTTTCCTTTATTTATTACAAGAAAGGAAAATAATGTATGCTGCTCAAACTTTCATTAATGAGTACAATTTGTATAACGATCTTACAAAACAGACTATGAGAGTATACTTTCCATTGATAGGTCATATCTAGTTCCTTCTAAGAATTCTCTGTTTTTCTTAATATGTTTACAATTACACTATATCTAGAACAATTGACTTTTATTTAGAGAATTGTACTAAGCCTATTAAAATATGTAAATAATAGACCTCATTTATAATATTCATTACCCCCAAATGCCCGGTATGGCCGAGGGTGGGGTGGGGCCACCCTCCCTCTCGAAACGCTCTCACACGGCCACGCGTCTACAGACTCTGCCAGGGAAGTCCTACTCACTGTCTTCTCGTGGCGGGGGTGTTGTTTACGAAAATGAGAGGACGAAAAGCGAATGTCCAGTGCTTTAACCGGATCCCAAACCAATGGTGCACATGAGCTCCAGTATCCTGAGGGAACAAATGGCGTATGAACCAATTTTCGGTCGCCGGCTACCATGGGACTGCATCTCCTCACGATGCTCACTGCCTTGTGGGTCAGAACTTTAGGTCAAAGGCTCTGGGTGTGGACCCCTAAGAAAACCACTTGCTTCGGTCTGTGCACTCGGGCAGTATCACAGCCCACACCGAAATATAATGATAATGAAAATGTGTGGCGCATACGTATTTGGTGCTTCTTGTATCAATATTTATGTGTTCAACTAAATAATATTCATCAGAAGAGTTAATGATATCCGTACAAAGGAAAAAGGTATTTCTTTAAATGATTTATAAGATTAATATGAATTGCTGACTTAATTAAGTTCTGTTTTTTGTCTAACTATTCAAGTTCTTGGATTATTCATCATTGATCTTATTCAACATTAAGGTTTCTATACTAATTAAACTTTGATAGTAACGACTTTACGTTAATTAATAAGGTCAGACTACGTTTCATAGTTATGTTTTAGGTAATAGGCTCATTGATTGACTATCCAAATAAACATATACAATCTTATAGGAAGTCACATTAACACAACTGTGAACAAAAATAACAAAGGGACTTCATTATGTAATATGGAATGATTTAATAAGAAAGCATTAAGAAGTACATCTATATCAATAATATTGATTATGTATTATAGTAATTAAGCTGGCACTGTACACCTTGTAATCATATGACCTTCATACTTTGATATTTTTAACCTAACCGCCAAAACTAAGACCTATACACTCAAAACATAACAGAACTATATGATACTTCAATTGATTACATGAAGTCATCACTTTATATCTGGAAGTGAATCCAAGCATTATTAAAAGATATCATAGTTTTTGTATCATCTTGTAACAATCAATCTATTCAATCATATGATCTAGTTCAAATATCAATTCTCTCCAATTAACCATACAAATGATCATTTATTGGTGTACACAAATTAAACTGAGAAAAAGCTTCGTAAAACTTCATATAAAATGTCTTTGACTATTTTATGTTTGATACAATTTGAAGGAAGTGATTCAGTGAATCATCGAAATTACATTCATTTCGACAGTGATCAACATTTCATAGATAATAACTTCATTTTCACTGACTATATTATTCGTTCATAATATGATCATACCTGAAGACTTTATTGAATATTGAACAGATGTAAATCATAATGTAGTGTATACTACTGATGTCGACAGATATATAATTATCATTAATAGAAAGTGAAATACCTGACAGCAGAATATTTAAAAAAAAAGAAATCAAAGAGAAGAGAACGAGAACACGGGATGATTGGTATGGAAATGAAAAAACAATGAAGTCTGAGACAATTGAATGACATTTTGTAAATGAAATATTTACTGTAGTGTTTTCAGATTTCACTGAATGATTCTGTAATTGTGTGTTCACATACATTTGATTGTACTCATTGGTGTGCTCGTTCACTACAATAATTCCTTTTTTAACTGTTCCATTAGTCAGTCAGTCAGCTATAACGTAGGATCAGGCACATATATGCATCGGTCCAAGTTGTCATACCTCATTAACACAGCAAGATGGACACCGGATTCATAAAAGTAGTTAATTCAGAGGTGGTAATATATAAAAGAAAGATTGTGTATAAGGATATAGTACAGGAAGAAAGAATTAGTTCGTAGAAAGAAAGATATGAAGCAATTTTAATCTCTTAGTTTAAGGGAAGATAGAGTGTATACACCACGCCATTGTGATCAATTCTGAGCCATGTCACCAAGAGTCTCCAACCATTAGTTACGATAGTCACGTGGACCCCAACCAAGTAGTCTGAATCTACCAACATGGATCAGACTAGAAGTTGGTGACTTCAAGGACTGATGTCACGTTTTGGTTTGGCCACTGCTAACTTTCTTCCATCCATCTCCAACACCAGTTAGCATTGCACGTCGTGGTAAGCGGTGTTTAGGCATACATAACACGTGGCCCAACCATCTCAGTCAATGAAAATTCACAACCTCATCAACTGATTTACCATCATTCCCTAATACCCTGGTATGTAACCTCACTTTTACATACCGGTGATCCCAGCAGGTGCGAGAAATATTTCTAAGGCATCTTAATGGCCACGTTTCACAACCGTAAAGTAAAACAGAACGGACTGCCGCGCAGTATACTCATACCTTAATTGATAGACGGATATCTCGCATTCGCCATAAGTAACGTAAGTTAGCGAAAGCCAGAAGAGCTTTCTGAATCCGTGCTGAGATTTCATCAGACACCAACCCATTAGGCTGATCAGACTTCCAAGATAAGTGAAGTTGTCAACTCGTTCGACTACTTCACTCCCTATCCTTAGTTCAGGTGTTGACGCAGGCCAGTCCTGAAACAACAACTTGCATTTAGAGGGAGAGAAGCGCATTCCAAACATTCGGCATTGTTGCTTAGTGCTACCAAAAGACTCTGCATTTTGTCAGCATCTTCACCAAACAGGACTATATCATCTGTGTATTTTAAGTCGATAAGTGAGCCTCCTGCAAGGAGATCAATACCCAAGAATGAAGTCGACGAGAAAGTTATTTCCATCAGTAGATCTATGATGAAGTTAAAGAAAAATGGAGAATGTGGACAGCCTTGACGGATACCACTTGAGGTTACAAAATCAGGTGACAGTTCGCCATAAGCTCTCATTCGATTAGTAGTGTTCGAGTAAAGAGCCTTTACAAGATTTTTGTATTTCTGAGGTACGCCTTTCAATGGCAGACACTGCCACAGAATCTTGCGGTCTACGGAGTCAAATGCACTGTTCTATTAAAGGACTTTTAATTTTATACTGAAGACTTATCAAACGAACAAATTCAAATTGAGAACATCATTTAAATAAGAGTAATATTCACGAGATGTACGCAACAAAATATTTCAGATTACGGAATATAACCAGCATAATATTATCGTACATTCCTTGATACACAAATGGTAAATATTTCTGAACCCGTGTGATGTCATATATGTTGTCACATTTAGAGATAAAACAATTTTTTCCATCCATTCGTACATTTTACCACGTCTACACGTTTCTACACACCTTTAACATAGAGTTTGATTCCTTTCCATTGTAATATTTTCAATAGTTTTACCAAATATTTCTTTATCGATTGGTACATTGAGTTTGACATTTCCAGAATCATGTACCACAGATTTTCAACCTTCAGTAGGCCGTTAAGTCGTCAAGTAGGTGTTTTGTAATATTTAAGTACGTAACAGAATCCGAAATCTGTGATTATTTATTGTTAGATAAGAATCAATCTTACATAACGTCAGTTTTAGGAATTCAGTCTGATCCGCCAGTATACGATTCATTGTATCTATGAAATCATTCTTTGTCAGAATTAGAATACTTGAGTTATTTTATCTACTTTGATGGCTTTTGAATTCTCATCCGACTTTAACTTAATCCGTATGCTCTGTATGTGATCCTTGTTACTGTTATGTGGAATATCAAACATTATTCAGTATAATCATGTATCTTCCTGGTTTTTACTTCATGGGTTTCATATACATGAACTGCTTTATTTAGCAAGAATTGTCACCAAGTCGATAAACAATCATTCCTTACCACCTAACTGACAATAGATGTAGTATTAAGATGTTGGTTCTCAGATGTTTATTAAGTCTACAGAAATTTATCAAAAGGCATAGGATTATTCATTCTCTATATACCAAAAACAATTAGCACGAATGGAGTTGAACCGAGTTTGTTTTGAGATAGTGACTCACTGAACATAATGGTGGATGTGTCACTCAAGTTCGTGGATTAGTTGAAGTTAAACATTAATACCGTTGAATGCCGGCCAGCTCAGTAATCGAAAGGTTAAGCTTTCGCGCACAAGACCGATAAGCCCTAGGATCGAATCCCGTGAGCGAGATCGTGGATGTACACTGCTAAGGAGGAGTCCCACATCAGGACGAAATGTCTATCCAGTGCTTCCAGGTTTTTCATGGTGGATTAGCTTCAATGAACTCACGAGTTCATCTATTAAAATACTATAATATCCACCAAAACCCCTTTCTATGTATATCATTATTGATATCTATCAATCATCTTATTTCAATTCTTTACATCAATATTTAAATATCTGTTTTTCAGACTTTAGTACGTATGAATATGCCGTTGAATAGTGATGGAACTGTCATGTTCAATGCAACACTTTTTGCTTTAGTTCGAACTAATTTAAAAATAAAAACTGAAGGTAAGCTATTATGAATTAGTTGTATTGAATAGATTATTTTTATCATAGTTCCTAAATTGTTTTTCTCACATTTTGTTCATACATAAATTCACCTTTATGTCAAATTAAATTATAAAAAAAAAAAAACAAAGAGAAAACTACAGTACGGTTTAGGGTCAAGAAAGTTAGCTCTCTCTGTTAATGCTCTCATATGGACACGCATATACAATCACTTTCAGGGAAGTCCTACTCACTGACTTCTCATGGCATAACTGTTGTTTATAGAAATTGAAAGTAAGAAAACCGAATGTTAAACGCTCATACTGCATCGGTCGATATGGAGTATTCACTTAGAGGAGTTGAAAAACCCTGATTCCAAATCGATAGTGCACATGGGTTCACGGATTTTCCGGGGGATGAAATGTCGTACGAACCTATTTTTTGTCATCACTTACCATGGTACGGCATCTCCTAACGTTGCTCCACTGTCTTGTAGATTAGATCTTTATATCAAAAGCTCGGAGAGTGCATCCTTAAGAATATATTCTAATATAGTGCTGATGAATGATTTTTAGGAAAATTTAAACATCAATTTAGAATTATCTTGTTTACGAACTATTATTCTACTGAATAACATCCATAATAATAGAAAACTGCCAGAAATTGAGTATAATTTCTATTTTCAACATGCATACAGGTTACTGTAAGCTGTTAACTTCAACTGTTGGCCACACACGTGAGTTATGTGCATTTGAGACATCATAACACATATCGTTAGATTTAACATACTTACTTACTTACTTACTCCTGTTACTCCCAATGGAGCATAGGCTGCCGACCAGCATTCTCCAATTCATTCTGTCCTGGGTCTTCCTTTCCAGTTCTGTCCAATTTTTGGTCTTTTTTCTCATGTCTGTCTGTATATCTCGGCATAATGTGTTCTTTGGTCTTCCTCTTTTCTTTCGCCCTCAGGATTCCATGTGATGGCTTGTCTTGTGACTCAGTTGGGTGCTTTCCTCAATAGATTTAACTAAGTCTGGATAATTCGTAGTAATTATCTCGTCGATAACTAAAGTGTACAGAACATTGGGTCACCATTATGAATCTCAGCTTTTTTCAATTATCTTTGTATTTTAAATTCGGTAATTCATAAAGAAATTAGTTTGAGAAATAACTGTTCAGAATTTCAATAGTTTAATGATGTCCTCTGTAGTATGATGGATAGGACCGAAATATTACAACTGATTCCTTATTGATCTTCAATTTTGTGTATGAACAATCATTTGTTATACATATATCAAGTCAAATTACTTTAATTCCCTAATACAATATATACATTCGAAATGGGATGACCAAGCTAAGACAGTACTAATCCATGTTTTGCACTATTTCCATAACTAACGGTTAAACACGTGTAATATGGTTCAGAATCACTTTCAATAACACAAATACATCCGCGCATTAGTATCCGTTAGATTGTGAGTTTCAAAATGATTCTATACCTTTTAGCGTACAAATCCATTTTTCTTCCACAAATTATATCGTCTATGCTTATGGTTAGTGTTTTATTTTAGCAAGTTAGACAATGCTATCTACTCTCCCCTTCCTCTTTCTTCTGGTGGTCGACTGGATTATGAAGACTTTGACATCTGAGGGAAAACATGGCATACAATGGACAGCTCAGAACCAATTAGACGATTTGGACTTCGCAGATGACCTGGCCCTTCTATCGCATACACATGAACAAATGCAGATAAAGACAGCCAGTGTAGCAGCTTTCTGTGCACAAGTAGGCCTCAAAATACAGAGGGGGGAAGCCAAGATCCGCAAATACGACACGGAGAACAGCAATCCAATCACTCTTGATGGCGAAACTCTGGAAGATGTAGAATCCTCCACTTACCTGAGAAGCATCATCGATGAAGAAACATGTTCAGATGCAGACGTAAAGGCGAGGATTGGCAAAGCAAGGACCGCATTCCTACAATTGAACAACATACGGAACTTAAAACAGCTGTCAACCAATATCAAAGTCACAGTCTTCAATACGAACGTCAAGGCAGTTCTACTGTATGGAGCTGAAACTTGGAGAACTACAACAACCACAATCAAGGAAGTACAAGTATTTATAGATGGTTGTCTACGCAAGATACTCAACAACCATTGTCCTGATGCCATCAGAAACAGTCCACTGTGAGAGAGAACAAACCAGCTTCCAACTGAAGAAGAAATTAGGAAAAGACGATGGAAATGGATAGGACATACCTTACGCAAATCGTCAAACTGCATTAGGAGACAAGCCCTAACTTGGAATCCTGAAGGGAAACGGAAAAGTGGAAGGCCTAAGAACACATTACGTCAGAAAATAGAATCAGATGTGAAAAAGATGAATAACAACTAAAAATAGCTGCAAAGGTTTATCCAAGACAGGGTTGAATGGAGAATGCTGGTGAGCGGCCTATGCTCCTCCACGAGGAGTAACAGGCGTTAGTAAGTATGCTTAGGGCATTTTATTGTCTCTGATACTGCTCCAACTTTAATCATTCTGACATGTATCTAGATAATTTCATCTCTCTATGCTCATATGGTGTGACCACGTGAACCGATACACAAATGTTAAGTTCTAAGTTGCTTATGAAAAACGAAATGATCAACATATTCAACTGGTTATACTCATGATTATATCTCTCGAAATTTATTTCATCTGAGATTTGAAGGATTGATTTCTTTTAATATAACTATCGTTTAATCCATCTAAGTGTTTTAAAATTATATATTATAGTCAACCAAATTATTCATATTGTTCATATTTCATTGTTATTGAATAACATCCATAATAATAATATATAATAATAATAATAATAATAATAATAATAATATATATGAAAATTATATTTGAAATAATCTCAGCGATTGAAATGTAAATAATTCCAACGTTTCGTCCAACTAACTTGTCCGGACTTCTTCATTGGATTATTACTCTGAAGAAGTCCGGACAAGTTAGCTGGACGATTCGTTGGAATTATTTACATTTCAATTGCTGAGATTATTTCAACTATAATTTTCACATATAATGACTTCTCTTTACTCAGCGTCCAATTTCTGTCAAACTATTCGGTCTAATCTTGACGAATATTCATATAAATAATAATAATAATAGTAACTATTATTATATGATATAGGTGCAGCAATTGATCAATTAAATGAAGAACTTCGTGCTGTAATTAAAAAAATATGGAAAAGAACAAGTAATAAATTATTAGATCAACTTGTACCTCCTGCAGGTGGTAAGTTTTCAAATGTTGCTAAAACTATATCTACTTAGATTAATCAGAAATAATGTTTATCTATATAATTTATACTTACTTACTTACTTACGTCTGTTACCCATCGTGAACGAATGTAGACCGTCTATCAACATTTGTCTTCGAGAATCTTTTCCAATTGTTATTCGTCTTTTTAATGTCTAATTTCAACGCTCAATGGAATGTGTTCTTTGGTCTTCTTTTTTCTTTTTTCTTATTTCCCTACAGAATTCCAAGTTAAAGCATAAAATCCATAAGCATAAACTAATTAATTATTAATGAAATCATTTAATGAATTATATCATTATCACTGAATTATAAATCAAAATGATTATGATCATGTGAATTGTTTTATGGAATTACTAAAATTGACAATAATAAATGATCGAGATCATGAACCGATTGATGTTAGGTTTTCAATGGTGGTCTAATATCAGTCGATTCATGATCTCAATCAAAAACTTAACAATCTTCCCAACCTCTAAACTGATAATTACCATATGCTCACTAATGACTAGCTTCGTGAGAACTTTCTCGGAGTTCTAGTGAGAAGCCGTGACAAGTGGAGTTAATCCGTGTCGGGTAGAAACAAGTGTCTACCTCTGTAGAATGGAAGATGGTCGCGCAACTTCGTGAATTGGTTGATGTTAGACACTGTCACTATTGGATGCCGGCCGGCTCAGTGGTCCAGTAGGTTAAGCATTCACGCGTGAGACTGAAGGCCCTGGGTTCGAATCCGGCGAGCAGGATAGTAGATGTGTACTGCTAAGGAGTCCTACAATAGGACAAAACGGCTGCCCAGTGCTTCCAGGTTTTCAATGGTGGTCTAATATCAATCGGTTCATGATCTCGATCAAAACTTAAATATCTCCACAATCTCTAAACTGATAATAATAAATGAGTAACATTCACTTTCTAATGTGTTGAACCTTATTTATATCTAGTTAGAAGTCAACTTAATATAGAGCATTGAAAAATTCGTTTATCATTGTGAGTATTTGATAATTGGATATCATTGAAACTATGTTCTTATTCTGAGTAATATATTTCAAAATTAAGAATTGTTTTGATTAACGAATTATTATAAATTAGATCATTAATGAAATACTCCAAGCACGGAATGATTGTTTCATACTATTATGAGATTCGTTAGAAATGCTAATTTATGATTCTGTATGCTGGATCAATTCATGATTGTAATAAAATTCAATAGTCATAACTCTTTCATGACATTATCAATAATACTTCGTTCTGATAAGAAATCTTTGAAGTTTTAATGAAAAGCTGTAAGTAATCGAGCTAATCACTATCGAATGTGGTACATTTACTTACAATACAAACTGAAAACACAATGTCGTGAACTGATTGAATTAAGATATCAACATTATTAAATGATGATATAGTAGTGTAGTAGTGGTTAAGTGTTTACACACCAAATCAAAAAGTGTTGAATTCGATTGCTCTTAGTAAAGGAACCGTGGATGAATACTATTGATGGGTCCAGTCCTAGAACAAAAGGGCTACTCAATGCTTCTTTATTGTAACAGTGATTAGTTCATGATTTCAATGATATTATTAACTGGATTTCTTTCATCACTACTGATAAACCAATACATAGAAAGAAGTGAAATTCTTTTTTGAGCAAACAAAATAGTTACTTAAATCAATTAAATGAACACATCATTTTGATAATTTAACGGCGCCCCCCCCCCAACTTCAATCTATATTTCTCTACTGATCACTTTTGATGAAGTGATGATGTAAAAACAATGTTAAACACTAATATACAACGTAGATGAATGTCATAAAATCGATTCATTAGTATCATTTATACTGTTAATGATCATAATTTATAGTGTTATTAACCTATGGAAAAATAAATATGGTAACTAACTAATAAGTGTGGAATGTTTGTTTACTTGGTAACTCATTTAATTGTCAGCTGATCATAACTTATTAAGAAGATTCCTTTTTCGTTTGACAATTTTTTTTTGAAAAAAAAAGAAAAGAAAAAGAAAGCATCACTTCTATTCTTATTTATTCTACTGAATTCAATTATCAAGATCAAAAAAAGAAAGAGAAAGAGAAAGAAAAACATGCCAAAAAAAAGTAATCTATACTAGTAATCTGTTTAAGCCAAGATGAATAGCGACTAGCAGTGGAATTCAGGAAGCGTGACACATCGTCCTATTTGGGGCTTGTCAATTGGATGCACTTACATCTCAGAGTGGATGTTCATTCTGGGACTCGAACCCGGCACCGTTCGCTTCAAATGCCATCGCGTTATTCACTTGTTTATGCAATGAGGTGAAGTTTAAATCCACTTCGTGTCACTTTACTTGTATCTTTACATTTTTATCTAGAACTTGATAGCTAAGTGGATAAAGCGATGGTGTTTAAAGCGAACGGTATTCGGTTCTAGTCCCAGAGTAAACATCAACTTTGAGATATAGGTACATCCACCTGACGAATCCAAAATAGGACAAAACGCGCATTAAATTGGATTCCATTGATAGCCATTATTCATCATTGCTTAATAAGCTTGTAACTTAAGTCTATATCGATGCAATCCGTACAGGATTCACATATGCCAACCAGAGACTGATCAATTACAGCCTTAAATAACAATATCAAAACAATCAGAATGAGGATTTATGAAGATTTTACTAAATTTTGTATTCTACTTGCAACATCGTGAATGTGAACTGCTCAGAAGTTCGATACTAGGACGAAACGGACGTTCAGTGTTTTCAGGGTTTTTTTAAAAGAGAACAAGAACAATGATTGGTGCAGAATAATAAATGAATTCATTTGATTTCGTTAGGTTCTCATCAGCTGCTTACAACCTCAATTATTTGCAATTCAATGTTATTATAGATATTGACATATTTATACAACAGAGGGTGATGAAGGATGAATATATGTGTATCATGATGTAACAAAGATTTTGTTAGAGTTAATGAAGTCATACAATTTTTGGTTTCGAATATATAGAGTTTGAGAGGGAAAGTTCCAGAACATTGAAATAGTGATTATAAATCATGGAATGAACGTTAAATGATTATACAATAAAGTAACTGAAAATCGATTAATGATGTAATTATGAAATTCACAACGAGTTGGAATGACCTAATAAATAAAAAGGGGGGGGTAATGTTACCATAATAATAATAACACAAAACAATAATTACATATTTTTAATGGTTAAATTCATGAATCGATCTAAGCTAGACTATCATTGAAAGCTTGGAACAGTCGTTTCATCCTAGTATAGAACTCCTGAACAGTTGTACATTCACGACCTTGTAAATGGGATATAAAATTTACTAAAATCTCCTATAAATCCTCATTTTAATTGTTACATAAATTTTTTTTTAAACAATAATGAATTATTATAAACAATATAGAATTGTGGAGATTGTAGAATTTTAATTGAGATCACTAATTAATCCATATTAGACCATCATTGAAAATCTAAAAGTATTGAAGGAATACAATGCTGAAAAGTACCATATTAAGTCAAGATGACCGTTTGATGCTTACAGAATTTCTGAATAGTATAATATTGTTAAACTATTTACAAATTTTATAGGAAAAGTTGATATAACTTATCAAAGTACTTAACAATATAGAATATAAATTTCCTGATTTATACCTGTCTTGAAAATCTTAATCAGTTTTTCTAGATAGTTTGTTATGATTGTCAATTTATTCTTATTCATTAGTAAAATAATGAATAGACAGTAACTGAACTATTACCTCTTTGTATATAATACTTATTGGATTAGTTACATGAATAATTACCATGGTTTCTTAACTTATGTCTTGTTTTGAATGAGAATACAATTGGAAATAAGTAAATGTATTTCTACAAAAAATTATACACTGTGTTCGTCAAAATATGAAAGTCATACATTAGAATGATTCATTTGCAAAATTCTATCATGTGTTTTTTACCACACTGTATAATTCTTCAAAGTCACAATTCCTTTCTATTTCTAGTTCTGTTTTTTTTTTGTTTAATTTGAGCTTCATAGCCATTTACCATGCATTCCTCTCTTCATTGACGTTACATGCTAATTATGTCGAAAGACATAACTTGTGACCGCCGATTAGAGAGCAGTGACTTATCGATCGGATCAATGATGCGTAAACCTGTATGAGAAGCCTAGAGTTTTGATTGGTCCTGCTTTCCGCCTAGCTCAGCCAGTTAAGTCCAGAACGTCAATCTCAGCCTCTGCGATATGAAGCCTTATATTTCAAACATACTCTGTTTATATACCAATCAAGCAGACTATATCGTATCATAAAATAGAAAATAACATTTGTACAAGATTTGGCCGAATGTAGCTGTGAATGTGGGAGGTAGTGATTAATAGACAGGGAATAATTCAAGAATGGAAAATCGTATAATAACAGTTCATAGGTTTAAATAAAGCTTATGATAAGAGAGCCATAAATAGGAATAGTTTAGTTAATTAACAATTATACGATAAAAATATACGTATATAGTATTAGTCCATAAATGGATCCCAAAAATTACCACTCATTATTCTTATCAGGACACAACACACGTTACATGCTACTTATGTCTTTCGACATAAGTAGCATATAACACATTTTATGTATGGATTAACTACATATATTTTTTAACAATCAAGGTTTATTGTTATCATGCTATAATAAGATCTAAGGATTCTGCAAAAATTATCATTTCACTATATCAGTTTACAATTGATTGATCGCTGGGTAGTGATCAATGTCATGTATCTCAAATCCTTCTTCGTTCAGATCGAATAATATCGACCAATTGCCACCAAGTGGCCATCACTAGTCTAGATGACTCAACATTGAGTGCACTACATTGAGATAAGATAGTGCTAAAAGGTAGGGTTTCCTCTTGATTACTTTCAACCACCATCTTACTATATGATACTGTTTGCTTTTTAAACAAAGAAGGAATTATCGAATAAAATAAAACG